AAGCCCCAAAATCATCTCAAGATAACCACAAGATAGCATGACGGACTCGCCAACTGAGATATTTATAGATCCAGTTTGTGTATAGTCGAGACAACTGTATTTGTCTACAGATTACGTAAAGCTAGGAGCTCTGTAGAGATGCCTTGACATAGAGCGACGTTCTTGAAAAGATCAGTTCATAAACACTTTGTTGAATTGCGGCATAAACGCCAAGAACGAGATAAGAAGGAAGTATTATAAGATCTTGCGTAACTGCTTGATGAATCTGGCCCCAGGGAGGTCGGGACGACCTGGGGCAGCGTCTGATAAGGTGTTCAAAGGCGCTGTTGGAGGATGTTCGTTATAAGTAAGGTATGTACGCTATGGTCCCCAACGTAAACATTACAGAGTACTATGAAAAGTGGCGCTCACAAAAATCCCCACTTTCAGTGCATCGTAAGGTTAGGTTAGGTTAGGTGGGTTGCTTGGGTTCGTACATTTCTGGATAGGTCAAGACGTTTGGTTATAAACAGTGTGGGAAGCCAAGAGATCGGACACACTGTACTGTTGATTGGCAGTCAACTTTCTTGGGTTGAAATCATTCAATCAATCCCTCTTTAGTCAGTCAATCCTTCTTTGTATACTCGTATCGTTTAAGAACTTCATGAAGAGTTGGACAACCTTCTCGCTGTCAAAGACAGTGAGGACGGAGATGTGATTAATGTACCAATTGATGAGAGTTTACTCGGGAAATACATGAGTTATTCTTCTATACGTTTTCAAAGGTTAAGCTCTGAAGACCGAATATAAATTTTAGATTTGAAAATTTAATTTATTCATGGGCTACAGATGTGTGGAATAAATTGTAAAAGGACATTACTTAAAAAGAATATCTCTGGAGAATTTTATCTATAAAACAAAATTGTCTGCCGGAGGATGTAAGTCAGACAGCTGCAGTTAACCTTCTCCAAATTTCTATGGTGAATTTTAATGGTATGGCGAGTGTAATGAGGTACTTGGGGTCGATTCCCCATGCTCCTCCTTAAGTAGGATTTACTCCTATTGTGACAACCAAGTCTGAAATATGGGTTTGATTGTCCCTACTGTTTACCAACGGATTTCTCGACTGTTACCGACGTTGAAGCAACGTCAATAACGTTTAATGAACGTCAAGTAAACGTTACTCAAGCATATTGTGCCTACCAAGAGTCTCTAAGGATAAGGTGAGGGAGAAGGGGAGGGAGGGAGGGAGAAAGAGACCCGGGCATCACCTGGTATCTTATCTATCTATTAGAGAGTGTCTGTGAGTCTGCAGAACCACAGCCCCGCTCCTGTGCCCGGTAAGTCTACAATGGGCTCACCATAGCCCGTGCTACTTGGAACTTTTTGTTCTAATTAGCGAATCTTAAACAACATCAACAAAACAACAGTCTGCAGAAGGATGAAACCCAAACGCTTGGGGCTAGCCTCTCACAATTTTCCATGTCAAGAGGTGATATTCTGGAGTCTCGCAGGATAGTTAAGTTGACCCCCTCCCCCCCCCCCCACCACCGCCTCCCACATGCCACCCTTGAGTTGGAATTGGCCGCCGCTTGACGTGGTCGCTGGATTTGAAATGTGCAAAAAAGATTATCAAGTTTAGCATTTATTTCAATATTGGTGTATTCAGATAAACACCAATATACATTCATTGGTGTATACATTTAAAATGTATGTTACGATGACTTATTTGTAATTTATGCACAACCTTTTAATTGCAGTGCCGTAATTTGCAGTGAAAATGATTACAGTGATGTGGCGAGAGTGGGAAGGTGTGTTGGGTTTCATGGGGAGAGTGTGTGCTTGTGTTTAGGGAAGATTGGGTGGGGTGTATGTGGGTGGAGACTGAGAGGGTGTACTGGGAAGGAGTTGGGTATATTTACTAAGGGGAGGGTGTGGGTGATGTGATGGGGAGTGTGTTGATGGGTGGTGGGGTGGAGATGGGGGGACGTGTGAGTGTGGAGATAGGGAGAGTGAGTGTTAAAGGGAGGGGGGGGGATAAGAGATCTTTAAGGGTGTGTGGGAGAGTTTTGGCCACAGAATCACTCACGACACGGTCGGAAAATCCAGGTTCAAATCACGCATGGGACAGAAATGGTTGCCCGCGTTTCCTGTGCAGCCCGTCCTCTAAATAAAGACTCAAAAGTGATTCCATGCACCCGCCAAACCCCCTGTTTATGCAACCCGTCCTCGACTCAAGTCCATTCCATCCAGCGGTCGACCCCACAGACGCATTCATAAATTTTAACATGCTGTTCATTCAAAACGAGGATTTCCTCAAATATAAATTAATATTATAATATATATTAACATATTGTGCATTTATATGGGAATAGGTTAGGTTAGGTTAGGTGTTTAGGTTCTGTTGGCGATTATTTGCATTTGTAGTACGTGGGTGAAACATTTACAGTGTTGTGGTTCGAATAAAATTCGTCAGTGAAGCACTTGTTCCGGAAGTGTTCGAACATCATCAGTTGTGAGTCGTGTGTAAACGTTTTTCATTGATAAACAGCGGGTTTGGTGGGTGCATGGAATCACTTTTGGGTCTGTGTTTGGAGAACGGGCTGGTTTATGAATGAAAAACCTTTTTCATACGACTCACAAGTGATTTCGTTCGAACACTTCCGGAACAAGTTTGTTCGAACCTCAACGCTGTAAATGCTTCACCCACGTACTACAAATACAAATAATCGCCAACAGAACCTAAACACCTAACCTAACCTATGCCTATATATGCACAAAATGCTAATATATTAAAATATTAATTTACATTTGAGACAATTCCCATTTTGAATGAACCCCATGTAAAAATTCATGAATGCGTCTGTGAGTCGACTGCTAGATGGAATGGACTTGAGTCGAGGATGGCTTATCCTGTGACCTTTTACTCCTGTTCACCTAGCAGTAAATTGAAGTTGCATCCTGTGCAGGGTCAGTAATTCGACCTAGTAGGGGGGGGGGAGGGAACCTCGATATAAGCCGAACATGTATTTATACACTGGCTGTCTGTCCCCCGAAAAAATTATTTTTTATTTTTTTATTAATATATAGGCTGAAAAATTGGTTTGAAAATAGTTGGATATAAATAGGATCTTGGATATTGTTGGATCATTCGTAGGTTTTCTTGGAGAATTTATCGGGCATGAAATCCAACTAATAAATCCACATTGGGACTATTTTAAACGAGAGAATCAAAGTTGAGAAGTAAGTTGAAGAAACCAAAATTAAATCAATAGTGATTTTGGAGGAAGAGACATCGTACCCATATATTTCAATGATGTCTTCCCGGCTTGGTGAAAACTACTTATTTCAGTGTACTCTTGAGTACTTATAAAGATGACTGTTAAAGACTCCTAACTAAACCTGTGATTTCTCTACCATTGCAGCGCTTGGGATGTGAATATTATACATATGTATTCTCTATAATATTCCCTCCAGACCGACAACCAGAGCGCCACTCCCACACTCTCCTGAGACTGATGAGTACCTATTACTACCAATATCTATAATATATATAATATAAATATAAAATTTTACTGACAAATTATATTTCCGCCACTTTCCTTCCCATCACCTCTTTTGTCTTGCAGGGTTCTTGAGCAATATTCTGTAAGAGGCTTTCTAGGCCAAGCTCTCTCTCTCTCTCTCTCTCTCTCTCTCTCTCTCTCTCTCTCTCTCTCTCTCTCTCTCTCTCTCTCTCTCTGTCTGTCTCTCTCTCTCTCTCTCTCTCTCTCTCTCTCTCTCTCTCTCTCTGTCTGTCTCTCTCTCTCTCTCTCTCTCTCTCTCTCTCTCTCTCTCTCTCTCTCTCTCTCTCTCTGTCTGTCTGTCTCTCTCTCTCTCTCTCTCTCTCTCTGTCTCTCTCTCTCTCTCTCTCTCTCTCTCTCTCTCTCTCTCTCTCTCTCTCTCTCTCTCTCAAGCAAATTGGTAACGTGGGAGAGAGAACCGGAGAGAGAAGACTCGTAAAATGGGGGGGAAAAAAAGCCTAACTTGGCCATCCTCCTTGTAAGGTTAGTTACTACTTCACATGTCGTTATAACTTCCTTTTAAAGTTTAATCATTTTTTGCATGTGGTTAACTTGGGTAAATTGTATTAAAGCTTACCAACAATAAGTTTTATTAGAACCTGCCCTCTGTTTAGGGTGTGTCCTCTAAGTTATATTATAAGTATCCTCCTGTTTATATTATGGGGTATCTTTCTGTTTATATTATAGGAATCCTCCTGTTTATATTATAGGTATTCTCCTGTTTATATTATAGGTATCCTCCTGTTTATATTATGGGGTATCTTTCTGTTTATATTATAGGAATCCTCCTGTTTATATTATAGGTATTCTCCTGTTTATATTATAGGTATCCTCCTGTTTATATTATGGGGTATCTTTCTGTTTATATTATAGGAATCCTCCTGTTTATATTATAGGTATTCTCCTGTTTATATTATAGGTATCCTCCTGTTTATATTATGGGGTATCTTTCTGTTTATATTATAGGAATCCTCCTGTTTATATTATAGGTATTCTCCTGTTTATATTATAGGTATCCTCCTGTTTATATTATGGGGTATCTTTCTGTTTATATTATAGGGTATCCTCCTGTTAATATTATTAGATTTAGGTTCCTGTAAAACTTATTGAATTGATATTGGCAAATTTCTGAACGCGCAACACCCTCGTGGGTTCCGCCTCTCCGTGCCGACGGCTTCATGTGCAACGCCCTCGGGCTGCTGTAGGTTGTTCGGGCCCATTCTCCTGCACTTCTCAGGGTCGCCCTTGAGGGCCCGCCCTCGGAGGAAGCTTTGGATTTCTGGGTAGGCCAGCTCTAGAAGGTATCCATGGGCTGTCCCATAGTTCTAGGGCACTAACTCTAATAATTGTTTTTCATGGATATCGATCTGAACTCAATCTTATGATGCGAGACTCGTGTAGCAGGCGACCAAGACCTTAGGTCTCTTAAGGCTTAAGGTCTTGCTACTGCCCACCTAGCTGCCACCCACCTTGCTGCCAACCTAGCTGCCACCCACCTTGCTGCCAACCTAGCTGCCCACCTTGCTGCCCACCTAGCTGCCCCCCACTTTGCTGCCCACCTAGCTGCCCCCCACTTTGCTGCCCACCTAGCTGCCCCCCACTTTGCTGCCCACCACCTTGCTGCCCACCTTGCTGCCCACCTAGCTGTCCACCTTGCTGCCCACCTAGCAGCCCACCTTGCGGCCCACCTTGCTGCTCACCTAGCAGCCCACCTAGCAGCCCACCTTGCTGCCCACCTAGCAGCCCACCTTGCTGCCCACCTAGCTGCCCACCTAGCGTCCCACCTAGCTGCCCACCCAGCTGTCCACATAGCAGCCCTCCCAGCTGCCCACCCAGCTACCCACCTAGCAGCCCACCAAGCTGCCCATCAAGCAGCCCACCCAGCTGCCCACCAAGCTGCCCACCTAGCTGCCCACCAAGCTGCCCACCTAGCTGCCCACCTAGCTGCCCACCTAGCTGTCCACCTAGCTGCCCACCTAGCTGTCCACCTAGAAGCCCACCCAGCTGCCCACCAAGCTGCCCACCTAGCTGCCCACCAAGCTGCCCATCAAGCTGCCCACCTAGCTGCCCACCAAGCTGCCCACCTAGCTGCCCACCTAGCTGTCCACCTAGAAGCCCACCCAGCTGCCCCCTAGCAGCCCACCCAGCAGCCCACCCAGCTGCCCACCAAGCTGCCCACCTAGCTGCCCACCAAGCTGCCCACCTAGCTGCCCACCTAGCTGCCCACCTAGCTGTCCACCTAGCTGCCCACCTAGCTGTCCACCTAGAAGCCCACCCAGCTGCCCACCAAGCTGCCCACCTAGCTGCCCACCAAGCTGCCCACCAAGCTGCCCACCTAGCTGCCCACCAAGCTGCCCACCTAGCTGCCCACCTAGCTGCCCACCTAGCTGCCCACCTAGCTGTCCACCTAGAAGCCCACCCAGCTGCCCCCTAGCAGCCCACCCAGCTGCACACCTAGCTGCCCACCTAGCTGCCCACCCAGATGCCCACCTAGCTGCCTACCCAGCTGCCCACCTAGCTGCCCACCCAGCTGCCTACCCAGCTGCCCACCCAGCTGCCCACCCAGCTGCCCACCCAGCTGCCCACCCAGCTGCCCACCCAGCTGCCCACCCAGCTTCCCACCAAGCTTCCCACCAAGCTGCCCACCTAGCAGCGCACCTAGCTGCCCACCTAGCAGCACACCCAGCTGCCCACCTAGCTGCCCTCCAAGCTGCCCACCTAGCTGCCCACCTAGCTGCCCACCCAGCTGCCCACCCAGCTGCCCACCTAGCTGCCTACCTAGCTGCCCACCTAGTAGCCCACCTAGCTGCCCACCTAGCAGCCCACCTAGCTGCCCACCTAGTAGCCCACCTTGCTGCTCACCTAGCTGCCTACCTAGCTACCCACCTAGCTTCCCACCTAGCTGCCCACCAAGCTGCCCACCTAGCTGCCTCACCCAGCTGCCCACCCAGCTGCCCACCTAGCTGCCTACCTAGCTGCCCGCCTAGTAGCCCACCTTGCTGCTCACCTAGCTGCCCACCTAGCAGCCCACCTTGCTGCTCACCTAGCTGCACACCTAGCAGCCCACCTTGCTGCTCACCTAGCTGCCCACCCAGCTTCCCACCTAGTTGCTCACCCAGCTGCTCACCTAGCTGCCCTCTCGTGCGTTAGTGAGGCACTAGTTCAGGTTTCCGAGACTAGACCCTTACCCTCACCAGCACTGTCGTTCTGTGACCCCAAGCTGGAACAGGGAACGTCATCATTACCATGGAGGCATTAAAGCCATCCTAGAATTCCTGGGTCATTCTGTTCTCAAAGTTGATTAATTTACCCGACCCTTTCAAGGTTGATGTTCTTAATACCTCAATATAATTAAGATTACTTCAAAATGTCGTGCCCTAACACCCTGAGTAATTCTTGCTGGCACCATGTATTATACAGAAATAGTTATTCTCTCTGTTCTTATGGAACAAATGCCGGAACTCTTCCGTGGCATGACTTGTGTTTTTGTGGCAAAGGAAGGGAGGACCAGAGGGTCCTCCCTTGCCATCTTTGTGTCTGGAAAAGTTTCCAAGGTCTAGATCCAGAAACCTCCTGACGTTCTCATACCAGTATGAAATCTGAGGCCTGGAGTGTTCCTCATGGTTTACGATCTCTCCCTGTCCTTCCTACCTACGCTGATTCTCGACTTTTTCCTTCCTTTTGTAGCCGATGCCGGCCCGTCCAGCCCTCGGTCCTGTTCTTCACCTCGGTCCTTCCCTGTCTTTAAGTCTTCCCCGGACAATGGCCATTGATACCGACGCCAAATCTGATCTTGACTGCTCTCGCCCGTCGTCTCCACCGGAGGCTGTGGAGGCAATCAAGCAGCATATTGAATTTGCCGCCCCGGCGCCTTCTGGCAAGAAACTAAACCAGATCTCTCCCCTCTCTCTCTGCAAGGTAACAAGGTCTCAGTCCTTGCCTGTCTCACTCGACCTCGTCCCTATGTTTCTTCCCAGTGGTGGACTCGACCTCACTCACCTGCTGCTTCTGGTGCCACCTATGATACAGAATCCCCTGTTGGTTCTGTCCTTAGTCAATTCTACTTGCTCGGGCACTCTCGACTACCACCTTCGTCCTCACAAGACGTTGTTTGTTCGCCTGTGCTTCCTACTCTACTATTCCCTTCATGGATTTGACGTAGTCCTGATTTCTTTGATTCAATTCTCTATTATTTTACCCTATAGTATTTTGTCTTTATTTTGAATATCTTATTTTTTGCTGTTTGTATTATTCAGTGTCTATTATTCCGATAAATATATATTCAGTTATGCCACTTTTAGGAGCCATATCTTTTAGTTTTACTCTGGACCGATTTGTGTGTTTCCAGGAGCACTTGCGTGACACTTACCGTGCTTGACACTTACCGTGCTTGACACTTACCGTCGTCACTACTGCCGTTTATATGCCCTCTCCACCTTGTCCTCGTGCATCTAGCTCTATTTTTATCGGTAACAACAAATGTTACATTTATTCCATATTTCTCTACTGGAGGATAAATGGTGTACAGTGTGTTCCTTTCTGCTCCATCTGCATCTTCTAATTTCTTGTCGATCTTGAGCACTTATTATTTATTTGAGACTTATTATTGGAACTCCGGCTCCAGTAATAAGGTGAGTTTTGTAATACTTTTACATGAATTCATTTAGGTGAGTTTTAACTATAGGCCTGCCCTGTGGGGCGATGTGTCCTAATACTTGATGTTGTCTTGGAAGCTTTGGTCTTTGCTTCAAGCTTGTCTCTCTTGAGGTGGCGTGAGATTATTTATGTCGACTCGTGCACTCTCTCTTCCTTGTACCAACCTTTCTCTTTACTCCTCTTCTCTTTATGTGAGGGACATACCGTGTCCCTGATGACCTCCGTAAGTGATTATTTTTCCATCGCCTTATCCTTCTTTTCTTTCTGTCCCTGTCCTTTTTTTTCGGTTGATTTCTGCAGGCAGACTAGAATTTTTCGCCATTCGCGCTGCTCTTCCTTGCTCGTCTGATTTTCCTCTTCCTTACTCCCTCCCTCCTTCTTTTCCACTTCGCTGCCACTTTCCTAGATGTTGCCCTCCACTCCGTTCCACAGTGTCTCCCATGACACGCGGAAATGCGATCCTTGGTGGAATCCTGAGTGCACTCGTATGTACACAGCAAGTGTCAATGAAGCCTGCACAAAACAACGACCCTGGCAGACATCTAAATCTTTTAATCTGTTTTGGAATGGAAATACAGTGGTTCGTAAGCCAATTTGTACAGCTGAGAGTGAAAATTGGCGGTCCTACAGCTCCACTCTTATAGTTTACACCCCTCTCTACCATAGCTGGAAGAAAATGCACAATATAGCGGATAAATTTGTTTGTGACATACCGTCTGTCCTTCGCCTCCGTGGTTGCTTCGTCTCTGTGGCTCCGCGTTCGTCACCAATGATCTGAGCTCGCAGTTCTCAACCGCTGGCTTCAGTTGTCTTATTCCTCCAGTCTTCATTACTCACAAGTCCGGTACTGAATCTCGCCCCATTGAGCTACCACTCTTGTCTTCAGGTTCCCTGCAACCATCTCTTCACCATTTGTGACTCCCAAGCCGCCTGGCCCACTTGCGGCTGCACAACGGCGGACTCCAACAATGTGCGCTACAAGCGGCATTTACTGCATATTTATAACCATATTTGAGATGTGATCCGTCCACGAGAATTGGCTCGAGGCAGTTGTTCTCATAAGCAAACCCATACAAAAGGCACCTCCCCTAAGGAGGAGGTGCCTTTTGAATGACCCCTTTTGAGTGGCACTGTTGAATGGCAGTGCCTCTTCCCCCTTCCTTGCCATGACAGAGTTGCATGTGTATGCCCGTGAGGTCCGCCTTGTGTGGTTCTTAGAACGTCATTGTAACCCCTCCTAACTTCTCAAGTTGGCTCTCACAAGCGTCGCAACACGACTGACTTCTTGGTTGATTTTAAGATTTACATCCGTATTGCCGTTGTTGTGAATACTTTTCACTTTCTCTCCGCAGTTATTGGGTACCTCTTTCGTGGTACACTTCAGGTGCTGCTCAGTAGTGGTACACTTCGGGTGCAGCTCAGTAATGGTACACTTCAGGTACCTCCCCCGCGATAACAGCTTGATGGTTAAATGCAACCTCAGAAGACTGAGAAAAAAAATTGTACCACTTACGGGCTATTCATGCCCGTGCCACCTTTTGGGTGGCTTAATCTTCATCAATCATCAATCTTCCTCATCACACACGGGAGACATCTCCCGTCATGCAGGGTGCAGTCGCACCTCCACAGATCTCCAGTATCATCTATTGATACTGGCAATGGCTCAAAAGGGCCACCACTTACGGGCTATTCATGCCCGTGCCACCTTTTGGGTGGCTTAATCTTCATCAATCAATCATCTTCCTCATCACAATCGACTTGAGAATGGTTCAGGACGGACCGAAACGTCGTCGTCCCTTCACCTAGTGTGTGGTCTGGTCAACCTGCATATTGTGATTCATTGATAATTGTGTTGTGTTAAATCGCCGTGTTGTACGTGTGTGTTAGCGTGCAGTGTTCAGTATAATTATTCATCTTAGTTAACTGTCTTAGTGATGGAAGATTTAAAGTAAAGAGTTATTTATTTGATTAGTGTTGTTCTTAGTGGCAAAGTGTTAACGTAATAATTACTGATTTGATTTGTTACTGTCTGTTTGACAGTGTTAACGTAATTACTCATTGATTATTTCTGTCGGTGTGACAGAATGCTTAACATAATTAATTAATTGTGTATTTGATTTGATAGTAGTCCATAGGACAAGTGTTATTGTAACTAATTAATAGTAAGTTTGTCTTAGTGACAAGTGTTGAATTGTTTTGCTGTTATTGTTTTGTATTGCATCAATGCTGAGTGCCACTGCAAGAGTTGAGTGCAGTCGAATCTGAGTGTGTGCACTAGTGTACAGTTATGAAACACCAGAATATTGTACCCGATTGTACCCCAGCTCAACAACAGCTTGCAATGACCACTTTGACCCAACAGTGTACTGACGCTATGTTAACTGTTTTCTTACAAGGGGAAACCAATCTGTTGTTATTCCTGAATTTTTAGCCGCCACCACTTCCCATACTAACTTGAGTGCGAGTGAACAGACACGTACTGGACTCCCGGGGAAGACGAGGTCTGGTAATCGACAATAAGTAGGAATATTGAAATTTAATTACTTGGGAATAATTATGGATACTCTTTTAATTACTTACTGAGAATCAGGGACATTTATAATCCCATAGAAGAATGCAGGGTCTTAGGGGGAAGTTACCTATAGCATATAATTGTTCTTCAAGACTCAGAATAATACGAAGGGAAAATAACTAAACATGTGAAACTTGTATCACCTTTATATGAGAGTTACTTAAAATGGAAATTGAAAAACAGTATAAATATCCTATATAGAGGTAATGGCTAGAGGGTTATTACTGGTCTGCATAAGATTCCCAAGTGCACTGTACCATTACCCTTCAACTTACAGCCGGATGTTTTGGGCTTCCCAGCTTCTTGAGATTATCTTGAGATGATTTCGGGGCTTTAGTGTCCCCGCGGCCCGGTCCTCGACCAGGCCTCCACCCCCAGGAAGCAGCCCGTGACAGCTGACTAACACCCAGGTACCTATTTACTGCTAGGTAACAGGGGCATTCAGGGTGAAAGAAAGTTGGCCCATTTGTTTCTGCCTCGTGCGGGAATCGAACCCGCGCCACAGAATTACGAGTCCTGCGCGCTATCCACCAGGCTACGAGGCCCCTTCAAACCCCAAACCCCCGTAACCTCAGCTCCTGAGGTTACTACCTCCACTGACACTCCAGATACACTAACTCTAAAAATCCTCAACTCCTTCAAGGTAGCCCTCCGGCCCTACCCACTAAGTTTACTATGGCTCTCTTAAGCCCCGCCTATCCAGGTTTAAAACAAATCATTTTAAACTAGGCCTGGAATATGGCACTCTAAGGAGGCGATGAGTCACAATAACGTGGCTGAAGTATGTTTCGGTCCAGGATGGGCCGAAACGTCGTCGTCCCTTCAACTTCTAGTGTGTGGTCTGGTCAACATGGCACTCTAAGCCTATGGGTGCCAGGCACCCCACTCCCTTTTCTCAGGGTCTCCAACCAATCAGAGGCTACCACCGGTGATTGATATTTATATATGTCTTTATATAAAGACATATATAGTAAGAACACTAGACTGTGATGTTTGTTTCCTGGTTCTCATTGTGACCATTGTTGAGGCTTTCTGCAGCTCAAGGATCACGACTTCCTTTCATAATGTTCATTGATAGTTAGTCTTATTGCATTATAAACTAATTTCATCATATGTCACATATTTTCTGCACTGCACAGCATGTCATATTTTCTTTAAATCAAAGCTTTTTTGTGTTCTATTTTTGTGCTTTATTTTATAATGAATAATTTTTTCAGTATCTTTCAATATTAAGCCATTTGATGGCAAATACACACTTATGAACTTTAAACACTGTGACAACACTTATGAACTTTAAATACTGTGAGAACACTTATGAACTTTAAATACTGTGAGAACACTTATGAACTATAAACACTGTGACAACACTTATGAACTATAAACACTGTGACAACACTTATGAACTATAAACACTGTGACAACACTTATGAACTATAAACACTGTGACAACACTTATGAACTATAAATACTGTGACAACACTCATGAATATATTCAAATTTCACCATTTGCTGCATGACACTTGAGTGTGGCGTCGGGTCACGTGATGATACCGTAACAATCATCCCGCCCTAGAGTGAAGAACGGTAAAATGTAAACAACCAAAGGGCTATAATTTTCTTTTACAACGGTAAATATTATCCAAATATTATCCGGTTATCCAAATCTCAAATACTTTTGAGATTTGGATAACGCCCAGAGTGTTCTCTTATCTTTTAATCAAGGTCAACGGTGTACTTCCAGATGCCCTTCAACTCCAGGATAAAATCCGTGTTGAGGTCGACTTCCACGGAGATGCGAAGCCTCATGGAGTCGGCCTCGTAGGTGGAGGAGTGGAGAGGGTGTTCTTTGTGGTTGAGGAGGATCCCAGAGGGTTCATTCTCCACGCCTAAGAACTCCAAGTCCATCATCTTGAGTCCGTGGAGATCCTCGACCAGGTCCTGCACCACTCTCATCGTCAACACGCTCTGTAAGTGTTAATTGACGTTAGTGAAGCCGCAGTGCTGAT